AAAAAAAAAAAAAAGTAGATCAGCTATTTTACAGCCTATGCATAAGGAAATGCTTTTAAGCATCACTGTCCAAAGCAAAACCCTAGGAAAATGGCAGCCTGCCTACTAGAGAATACGCCGATAGCTTCTTTGTTAGCCACAGATGATAAAATGGTAAGTATAGTGGCTTTGGATCATGCCTTTGTCTTAATTTCCTCTTAATCCACATGAAGAAAATTCACACATCTAACTTTCACTCGCCTACTTGGGCCATGCACTTACGTGTGTAATTAACCTCCCTGCTTGGGAGAGCACCTAATAACAGTGTTTCTGCCCATTTCTGTGGCCCTGGCAGTCACAGGAGATCACAGGTAGTCACTGTCTTTTCCATGCTGAGCATTAGGTGACTTTCCTGCCCTCAAGTACATGTGGAGGTGGACAAGGTGGCCACACTGGTTCTAACCTTGTGACTTTATGTTTTTGCGCTGTCTTGACCTCTTATTCAAAATGAGTTTCACTGTGTCCTTTATTTTTTTTTTTTTTTGGTACCAGTGATTGAACTCCGGTCCTTGCGCTTGCAAGGCAGGCCACCGAACCACTGAGCTAAATCCCCGGCTGTGTCTCATTTTTGACAATCCCTAAGGTGGATAATATGCCCTCCCTACTCTTCCTGGTATCCAGTGGCTCTCATAGTGCTTGACGTTGCTTATCTGGGAGCTGTGGGTTTCTTCTGCCTACCAAGGTAGGGCAGCCTGTGACTGCACCATGGCATGTAGGATTTCCTTAGCGAAGACCTTCCCCAGCTGCTGTTCACAGGAACCCTCCATGGCAACATGTAGACCTAATTATTCTGTGTGGGAAAGGAAAAATTTCTTGAAAGAAAAGTATCTTGTCTATTTCAATCTGGTGTCTGGCCAGACTGCACAGTCTCTCTGAACCACGTGTCCTAGTGTTCCGTCATCATTGGACGTCTTTGTGCTCACAACTATCTCATGCATCACTCTTCATGCTCCACTCCTCTTTAGCCCTCACAGTGTGGCAGCTCCCTTAACATATTGCCTTTAGGGTCACACTGAGTTTTCAGAGATCATTTTCTATACAAATGTTGGTGCAATGGAGTTGACAAAATTCCAGGTGTTCAGTGAAAAGAGACCTCATCAGTGGATGAAACTGTGATTGTCTAAATGGAGTTTTTTCACTTTTCAAACTATTACACTAGGGAAAAGGAAAAGAATCCTTAAAAAGACACTCTTGAGGATTTTTCTAAATATTGGCTACATAATCATTTGAGTCTACCCTGAATTTTAAAACTTTTGAAAATTCATCAGTTGGTTTTTCTGTGTCTCACTCTAAAATCAGCTCCATCCTATAATTCACTTCCTAATTCTAGTCTGTATGTGTCTCTGCTTTAATTATTTGTTAGGTCTTTCTGCTTCTTGAGTGAACTGAGTTTGTTGGCACAAATAAATGGAATTCCCTCTATTTTCCCTGACATACCAAAGATGCTTCTTCCTTACCGAGACTTCCAGAGCAACCGTGCTGTCAGCTTTGCACTGAGAACTGGGTCTTCACCTATTATACTTCCTTATCTCTTGCCTAGTTGGTACACTTCCTTATGCTCTCATTACCAAGTTGAGTATAGTTTCCTGTGGAAGTTCCTGTCCGTGATATCACCTCATTCTCCCCTGCCCTGCATATGTCAGCCCTTGAAATAGACCAGCAGTCTGTCTTGGCAGGAACTGCCCATGTGTGACCCAGCCTTTATTATTTTACACACTAGATGGTTTCGTCTAGGTGTCCAGGTTTACATTTTTAAAGTGGTCAAGGCCTTATTCACTCTTGAGTATAAGTACATTTCTCTTTACTATAGAACAACACCTTTCACTTGTGGCTGCCCTTCTCACTAACATAGGCTTTTGTTTTTAAGACCTTTAAAGTTCCCTGAACTTCTGCCCCTTCCTAATCAATCTCAGCAAGTCAGCAGAGTCGCTTCAGTTCACAGCTCTTAATCCTTCACTCCAGACGAAAGGTAATCTTGGGTCCTCAAGCATCTACAACTCACTGTTATCACAGTTCCAACTACAGAGACTCCATTTGAGAGGAAATTTTGAAATAAACAATGGTGTAGTTCTGTCTGCATCAAAGGTACCTTTAATAGGAACTTATCTTTGCATCTGTCACTCTGCTGCTGGCCTCGGCTCAAGGTAATATAAGATGATCTCATAGATGCACTTTAGCCTCTTGATGTTAGCAGTTGAATTCTCTCTGCACACCAAATGCATTTGTGGTAATGAATGGCCAGATTCCTCACTGGCACACCCAAGAGTAGTTAAATTGAAATTGCTACTAAGACAACATTGTGGAATCCGTTGACTTAATGGATATGATCTTGCAGGCTTACTGTATCTTAACAAGCAGTCTTATATATATTTATCTTGCCCAGAAAGTACACTTGTAGAGTTTAACATTTGCTCCTTTCTCCAAACAGATTAAAGGTTATGGAGCTGAATGATTCTGTGTCCCATTTGAAAGGTCCAGGTCATCCCCTAGATTTAGATTGGTTCCCAAAAAATCTTCCCGGCTGAATCCTGACAAATGGATAACTAAATTAATTTCCGCTCCTCTCTTGCTTGGTTTGGTACATTACAGTCACCATTAGCCTTAAAAGCTTCAACAGCCAAATCCAGTGACAGTAACATAAAGCTGGAGCCTTAAAAAAAAAAAAATAAATAAAGCCCACAGTTATCTATTTCTTTTCTCCCAGTCAAATGCAATAACTGAAACCCATTCCCCAGGTCAGAGTTTCATTTCCAGAAAAATGTACAAATGCAATAGAAAAATATTTTTAAACTCAAAAGGTCATAGTTGATTTCTGATTTCTCTGAAAGGAAGTGTTCCAGTGTTATCTTTTGTCTTCTATAACCGGTATAATCAAATTGTTCCCCTTGTTAGGAAGGCAGACTGTCATTCTGTTCCAAGTCACCTGACTCCCTCAAAATGTGTTAAAGCTTCATCCTAGACCCACTTGGAAGGGAGGAATTGTAAGCCACATCCACCTTTATTTTGCCCACCCCAAACCATGGGTATCATAGGTGGGAGGATCAAAGTACACTCTGCCTCCTGTCCCTGCCTGGAGCCAGTCTGGTGACCTCTGTGTGAAGGTACATGTCTAAAGGTACCCCTATCCAGGGAGAAATCTTTGCAGCATGTAGAATACTGAAAGGAATACTCAGTGGAAATTTGCCATATTAACATAGTTGTGGCTTACAACTAGGAAGCCATTAACCTCATTAGAATCTCTTTGCAAATAAAAAAATTAATTTGAGGAATAGGATTGGATCAGGACCCATTCAGAGCTTCATTGTGATTCACCATGAGATCCATTAGTGTCTCTGTTCTCTTTTGTGTACAGTGATGTTCTGACCATAGGTTTCTGTTTTACTGTTGTTTTTGGAAGCTCCCACCTTTTTCTTTTTAAATCAAGTCAATTTGTATGTAGTTCCATTCATGAAGATATGTACTGTAATATGGGAGAGCATACTGCATGATTTAAATTTTGTTTGCAACTTTCTTCCTACTTAATTGACTTTATATATTAGATGTACATAAAATTACCTCATTTAAGCTTGATGATAGCTTTAGTCTGTCAGTCTGTCTCTCTCTTTCTGTTTTTCTCTTTCTGTCTCTGTCTTTCTGTCTCTCTCTCTCTCCCTGCTTGTCTGTCTCTCGGTCTCTGTTTCTCTTGTCTATCTCTCTCTCTGAGTAGTTTAAGCTTGATGATAGCTTTAGTCTGTCTGTCTCTCTCTTTCTGTTTTTCTCTTTCTGTCTCTCTTTCTGTCTCTCTCTCCCTGCTTGTCTGTCTCTCGGTCTCTGTTTCTCTTGTCTATCTCTCTCTCTGAGTTGGGTCAAGTTTTTTCTCATAATCATTTTAGGAAAACATTTTGTGTTTCCCTCCTTTGTTTATTTGGATATTGTTTTGTTCCTGCCTGGCTACCTCTTTAATTAGATACTTGATGAGGAGTTCCATAGGAAGGACTTAGCACTCAGTATTAAACACCCTACGCATCTTAAAAATAAAATTCTGGCCAAGAGGAGTTCAATCTGTAGGTCACACTGTATGTGTGACTGCCATAAATTAAAAAATTAAAATCACCTTAGAATAAAAAATGAATAGCTATAGGGCCAGATTCTGAAACACATTAAAAAAGTCCTTTTTCAAGAATGAAGTAGGTCATTTCTAAATGAGTTTTTCTCTTTTTAAAAGTACATATTCAGTTAAATATTTTGTGTTTCTTAAAAAAGAAAATAGCAAGGTTTTTCTTATTGGTGTCAAAGTACTCAAAAGCCAATATACCTTGGAGAAAATGATTCTTACTCCCCGGGCCCATGTTATTATTTTGGCTTTCACAGCCTTGTATCATAAGCTTGTTTCATGTTAATGTTCATGAAATCATATAAATACAGAAAGTGGCTATGAGTATTTGTAGAATATGCTAAGTGAGAAAACTCAACCCCATGGCACATTTTTGTAGTTCTTGGCTACAGAGGAAAGAAGTACACCTGTAGTTGATCCTGAACCTGTGACACGATCATCCAGATTATAGAGAGCTTTGCTCTACGGAGAGCTCTCTCTTCACCAGGGTCTTAGCTTAGTAGTTGCTACTTTGTGTTATTGTTATTTGCATGGTACAAGGAATATGAACTGGTCTGCTTTTGGGCTCCTTGAAACCCTTAATATATGATTAAGAGAAGAAATTATAT